GATTGAATTCGATTTTCAAAGAAAAATCTGACATTTGCAGCTCTTTTTTTGTATAGATTTCGCTATATGGGTGAATATATTGAGGTGTCCCCCAAATAAAAATGATTATTTTTTATTTTTGGTTGTATCACTGTTAGTCTAGAATGGGGTTTTTGTGAAGCCACCAGGTCTAGTAATAACATAACATAAGTGGTTCTGAACTATAATGCAAGTATTTTAAGAAATCATACATTTTGAATATTAGAGCTTCACGGAAGATAGAGCCACGGAGGATAGGATTTCGTATGTTTTTTTAAACATCCCTTTGTATATTGAAACAAGTTATTGTATCTTTTGACATCTTAATATTTTTTAAAAATACAATTATGCATACATAAAATATTTATAAAAAAAATCTACTTACTCAGATATTACACTTCACGGTGTATAGGTTTTTAAATAGCAAATTGATGAACTTAAACTTTTGAATTATAAAACAGCAACACTCTCATCTGCATATAAATTCTAACTGACCTTCAGGAATCACATGCATCTATAATGTCGTAAACAGAGGTTTTTGCTTATTTAAAATGATTGAAGCGCCATCCGTTGCATAAAATTTAAAGCAAAAATAGATTCACGGAGGGTAGAATCAATTTTTGTAACACCTACATAAATGGTTATAAAAATTATTTCTTTTATTTTTAATAATATTTTATATTTGATTCGATTGCTTTGGATGTGTTTAATTTACTTAGTGAACTGATATTTTTAGTATGCTTTTACTACCTCAGATATTTGAAAACATATTGGTTAACCTAGAAAGAGTAACAGTCATGGAGGATAGGTTTTAGACTTTTAAAACATTGTAAAAAATAATTAATTGCGGTTAAAAATCTATGAAAGATCAAAACACAATAAAAGTGTAGGTCAAACTCATTTAGTTTTATTAAATATCACAGGGTAACACCATCGGGGGACATTTCGTGAGATTCTCCCATAAACAAATAATTAATTTAAATCATTTTGAGATAATATTAATTATTTGTCGTAGAAAAAGTATAGTAGGTAACTCGTTTAAAATTTTTCTAGACACTCAATTATTAAACACTCGCTCGCAAGCTCGCTCGTGCCTAAATTAAATTCGTGACTAAAATGGCGTTTATCGTATACTATTCAAATGTATATTGGTGCATATAAATCGATATACTATATGGTTGCATTGGCTGAAGTAGTAATAGGGTCACGATAAGGGAAATGCAATTCAAGAACTTTTGTGTACATTTAATTGACTCCATAAATGTATGCAATTTAAAGTTATAATGTAGTCGACCATTGAAATGCGAAATTCTACAGGGATATTCGTGTTGCATACTCGAACGTTTCGCGAAAATAATAATATCAAATTAGCGGTAAAGAAATAAAAATAAGAAGAGAACTTTGTAATAACTAAATTTTATTTTTATCACGTGTCCAAAAATAGAATATTTGAGCTAATTGAGTGTATAGGAGCTGCAGCACCTGTTCTGATAATATGAAATTATTCAAATATTTTTATTTTTTGTGGCGAAATCATCATTATTTGCAGAACCAATTTTTTAAATTCATTTAAGTATAATTTTGTCGTTGATCTGCTCTCAGCCGCATTAAATTAATCAAATTCGATCGTGTAACATCTACACTAAGACTTTGTCTTAGTGTAACATCGATCGATCCTTATGTCATCCGCTTGTTGGCTTGATTGCAAATGAGAATACGTATATTTGCAGAGCTGCAAAATGTTTAGTCTAGCGTTACTGTTTTGGTTTGGTTAAATGACAAATTAATTTAATTTTAAAATATAAGGACTTGGTGAAACAAATTGGACAATAAGTGATGATTACGTATTAAATTTATTTTACCAGGTACAGGATGATCCCCTATAATGTCGCCCCCCTTTAACTTTTTTATTTTAAAGGTCCCAAAAAATTTAAAAGTGTGGTTATGTAGGTACTAAAAAATACTTTATTTCTACACAAAATTGGGAAATTAATCAGTATACAGGGAAAAACAAAAAGTTTATTTTTTTTCAATGGATCACCCTATATATGTATTTATTTTTCGATTCCTTGTAAAATTCTAAGCATATTTCATATAACATACCATATACCTAAATTCAACCTTTTCTGAAATATTTAAATAATTTTTAAGATAATAAGTTGAAATAGTTTGCCTTTCTCAGACTGAGTACGCCATTTTTACTTATTTAACAAGACATATTGACATAATTTCACTATAGTAATTTATTTTCAATAAAAATTTTGGTATACTGAGGCTTCTTGATTTCTAACAGTTTAAAAAAACATTTCGAATGCGAATATTTCAGAAACAGTTGAATTTAGGTATATGGTTAATATATGAATTATGCTCAGAATTTACAAGGAATCGAAAAATAAATTCGTATATAGGGTGATCCATTGCACAAAAATAAACTTTTTGTTTTTCCCTGTATATTGATCAATTTTCCAATTTTCTTTATAAGTAGAAAAAAAGTATTTTTTAGTTCCTACATAACCACAATTTTAAATTTTTTGGGACACTTAAAATAAAAAAGGTAAATGAGGGCGACATTATAGGGGATCACCCTGTACAATAACAAAAATTTTTATATGTGCAGGTTTTTTATTAACAGGTCACGACCCGCCACTGGTAATGTTAGTAGAGAAAATATGTGGGACCCCTAAAAAGTCGGAATTTATCTAAAAAGGGAAATCTGCATTTGTATGTATAATGTATGGCTATACACACCCTGAAACCGTGAAAAATACTTAATTTAGTTTAGACGTACCAGCCTGAAAATGTTGTGCTTAACGGCCCAGAATGTGTCAGAGGCATTTATAAAGTTAAAAATATGAGTAAAAAATAATTTCGCGTAATTTTTTGACAGAATAAAAACCTTCTAAATTAGAATCCATGTTTTCTGTGTATTTGTATGTATAGACTGCCATGTGTGAACCATACTGTCATTGTCAACTGTAAAAGTGTGTTTTGTGTATTTTTGCTAAAATACAATGGTGGTTTTTTCTGCCTTTGGTTGTTAATGTTTTATGAGTTAAATAAATGATAAGAATAGCGTTTGACACGAAAAAATGTATCCTATTATTAAAAGGTTAAAAAAACCTTTATAATTTATGATTAAATTATGCATGAAACAGTTAACAGCTAGGTTTACGCGTGCCCGTTATTTCATTGTTTTTTTCTAATTTTTTCAAATTTAACAGTAGTGAAAATTAGTGATGCAACAAAAGATGATTTTTTGCAAAAACCGAGCAGAAGCGGATGCAGATGCTGAAGTACAAGAACTATTAAATTTGTTTTTAACTGCATTATTATTCAAAATTCATACTAATTGCAACCCCCGTATCCAACTTTACTCGCATTGACAAAATTATAGCGATGTGTTTTAACAACAAAATAACTGGATGTTTGCCAGACATATGAAATCCGTAAGGGTTTTAGCTATAATTTAGGTACCTACATGAGCCAACACATAAACTAGATTAACGATAAATCCGCATGAAGCGGTTGAACAAAAAAGATTTTTTTTAATTAACCGAACACATACAGCAATGTTGTGATTTGTACATCTGATTTCATTTAAGCGAAACGAAATGTATTTTGTATCAAAGAGGAGACAAACGTATATTTGTATCTGTAAAATGTAAAAGTAATTAGAATATGATTTCAAACGAAAAGGGTGATAATAGCCGAAGAGGCATAAAGGAGAGCTGAGAAGGCCTAAGTACTTCTGCACTTTCTATCAAAAGCTTTTATAGACAATAGAGAATATTTCACCAGCTCCATTCTTTTTTTTTGTCAACACTATTAAGGGTGTGGAATCTTGACGTTTGGATTCTTTTATTGTTATTGAGTTTTAAATATAAAAATAGTTTTTTTATAACATATGTAGTAAATATTGAGTCATTCCAAATAAAAACACCAAATGGGGTGCGCTGCTTAATTTTTTATTTTGATAAAAAAAATTGAGGATGATCTTTTAGGTATCAAATATGAAAATCCGTTGCCGTTTTAATTTTTGGATTCTTTACTTTTAATCGGCACCCTTTAGAAATCTGAAATCGTGTGAATTTCTTACTCTCTTATAGTGGTCCAGAACTTTTTTTCTGTGACAAATATTGAAATGATTTTAATTTTTTTTTACTGTTCAGTAAGTGTGTTTTCGATATAAATTATTATTATTCAATTAGTTAATCTCACAAAAGAATGGTAAACCACTAAAGATTCATGATAATTTGCCAATTTTTGTGATTTTTGTGTGGTTCCTGTGCCTATTCTACTAAATCTTGAAAGTTATTTTTTTTTCAGGTATCAAGTACTTATACAATTTGAAAACGTAACTATTATTTATAGTTTCTAGACTATCATTTTCTTTATTAAAAAAATTATTGAAACTTGATAATTTTCAAAATTAGCCAATTTTGCCCTCAGAAATCATTATGTTCTGACATTTCTCTACCAAACATGAATTGACTAAGCCAAAGCCATTTTGAAAATTATCAAGTTTCAATATTTTTTTAATAAAAAAAATGATCTAGATCTAGAAACTTAAAATAAAAGTTACGTTTTCTATTGTATAAGTACTTGATACCTGAAAAAAGCAACTTTCTAGATTTAGCAGAATAGGCACAGGATCCAGACAAAAATCACAAAAATTGGCAAATTATTACAAATCTTTAGTGGTTTACCATTCTTTTATGAGATGAACTAATTAGATAATAATAATTAATATTGAAAATTTACTTACTAGGCAGTAAAATAAAATTACAATCATTTAAAGAATTGCCACAGACAAAAAGTTGCAGCGCACTTTTAAATTAATTTTTGGTGTTTTCATTTGGATTGACTCTTGCGTAATTTTAGTTAAATATAATAAGTTGCTGTTTATTTTAATATAAAATATTCCATATATTGAATAACCAATTTTTATGTTATATAAACATATTCTTAAGATATGTACTTACTGTTTTCTCGGATGGATCGCTGTTTCTTCTGATTTCGATGTTAAGCGAGGATGGGTTCCGGTTTTTTTGTCGGCAAGCGTTGTGCCGCTTTAACTTTGCACACCCACTTCCGGCCGAGCGGAAACTTCCGCTTGCCGAGGACCTGCTGCGACAACCATCTTCGGAACTGATGCTCTGCGGCCTTCTTTGGCTGAAAACAAAAAGAAAAATGTCGTACAACCTTAAATAACAAATTAATTTAGTGCCGCTTAATCTGCATAGCTACACGGAGAGAAAAGTATAATGCTGATTATCATAATTATAATACCCTTTACTATAATTTATATTACTATTTGGGACAACTATCTTGTATATTGCCAGATACTATGCATATTTAGTAATTTTTAAATATCCATGTATGTTAAACCTTAAGGTAAAATATTATTCTCAACCTATTTTGTTTTTAATTCCTATTATAATTAGATTTTAAAATATTATGTTGCCATTTTAAATATAAAATATTTTAAAATCGAATATTTTTATATGTTAACAATTAAAAATTGTAACATATTTATTGTACTTTTTAATATACAAAAATGATATGAGAAAGAATTGAACCTACACCTCGCCAAAGTTTTTTGTTTTGAGTGCGTTTCATCAACTTCAAATACCGACAGACAGGTGTTTTGACCTATATTGGGTATCATCAGTACACAGAGAAAAGTAATCTCTTGATTTAAGAAAATGCATTTATTTGAAACAGTTTTTCTTGTATGAAGTAAAATTGTCTTATTCGTAGTAACTTCTTGTTTACAATAAGAAAATACTATTATTTGGTTGTAAATCATGAGTTTCTTGAAAACAACTTATTGTTGTGATTAATTGTAAAGAAATATTTATTTAGAGCAATTAGTTAAATTGTTTGGATATAGGTTGTAGGGATTTAGTTTTATCAAATGTAAATACAAGCATATAATATCTTATTTTAACAAAATAATAGAATTGATACAAGTAAATGTTTTGTTTCTTTAAGTAAGATAAAAAGTCAACTAAATATTTACTTGTATTAAACAAACCATCAGTTTAAAAAGTCAAATAAACCCAAGTTTTCCACTAAATAAATATCTTCTTGTATCATATCGAAATAAATAATTTATTTGAGTCAAGACAGATATAGTAAAATCAAGAGATTACTTTTCTCTGTGTGTAAACACGACACTGTCGAGCAACTTGTAGTAGTGGAACACCCAAAACAAAGAAATACCTGAGCTTATATAACATGGTTGGTAAGCCAACAGAGGCGAGATGTAAGAACATCACGTGATCCACACCGTCTAACGACAGTATGCAACCAAGTAGGTTCAATTCTTTCTTATAAGTATTACCAGTAATGGGTCAAGAAAGTTTATTAAAGAAAATTGAATGTTTAAAATGTCATGAGTTACTATATTGTATATTATATAAATATTTTGTTTATTTACCTTAAACATAAAAGTATCTTTATTTTTACTATATTTTTTATTAATGTGTAATATATTATAATATTAGATTACATTCATATAGTAAATATTACTATTTGTGGATAGTAAAATCAATTTACTATACGAAAAATTAAAATATATATTATACATTTATGATTTAGTAATATTGGTGTAATCTTTACTAAAATTGTATAATAAAAAATAGTATTTTGTATCACAATCTTATTGACGAATATATAATATTGTTACTTATCTTATTGACGAATATATAATATTGTTACCCTAAAAATTTGTTAATGTAAATTTTACTATATTTTTTTTACTATCTAAAATTTACTATAAATTTCTCTCCGTGTATCTTTCCCATAAATTATTTGAATGTTTCATCAAAATCTCGCAATACTTGAGGCGTAGTAAGTATTTTCTGAATCTTGTTAACCTGCGTATAATTTTCCACCCGAATAATTTTCCAAGCCTTTCACGTCGGCATCAAAATAATTCCGCACAAAATTTTACAACTTGAATTCCACAATATTGTGGAAAAGTGCCATGTGCGTTTAGACGCCTATTATTAATACCAAACAACGTAATTCGTTATTTAAAATCTTAAAGGCGGATTTTCACACTAAGATAGTCAGGGCTTTGCATGTAGACGAGTATCGTAAATGAAAATTATGTATTCGGGTAAGTTTAATTTAAGTTATTCAAATTCGAGTTTCTATCTTCTTCTTTTGCTCTTTTCAAGAAAAGTGTGATTTAAATATACGCATATTCAAATTAAAATATAATATATCTTATATTATATATTCTTTAAAAAAATCCTAAAAAGTCGCATGATTTCGATTGCAATAAAAAATTATAATTGTTTAATCAACTTTCTTAACAAAAAGTAAAAAAAAAATTCGTGATCGATTAATTTTTTCATCGCCCTCGTTAAACAGAAACTCAACAATATACAGCTGTTAATGAAATTTCCAAGAAAGTAATTTATTGACAAATCAAATTTTTCTCGGGCGAAAAAAAATAAATTCTTGAGTTCGTTGGGTCGTCGCCGCGGCTCATTCTAATTGGATAAAATTCCAATTTTAAAATTAAGACGGCATCGCCGCTATAGTGGGGTTAAATTTAATTTGGGAATTTTCAACAGGTACGCCTTCTTAAAATGATAATTTAATCTAAATTGGGTCTTGTAATTCTTAATCAGGAGTTTTATTAAAATTTGTACATAATTCTACCCTTCAGGAGAAAAATATGCTACAGGATTTTAATAACGTTGTCCGAAGCATATTAAAATTTATTAAAAACTAAAAAACTTTTATTAAAATATATCCAATTTATTATAACGTTATTATAAGAATTACAACAATATTGTTGTATACTCCCACCTTTAAAACGACAATTATTCTACATGTTTCCATGACACCAAGTAATATGTTACCGGCAGTAAACTAGTATTGGACGATGAAGCATTAAACATTTCGGGTGAAGTACTTGTTAAACATCCTCTTCACTTTTACTGTGAAAAACTGATTTGATTTGCACACTGAAAAAAATAATCTCTGAAAAGAAATGAAAATCACTTTGAATCAAAAGAGTTTACTACTTTAGTTTAAGGGCACCTTTTTTCAGTGTACAGAAAATTACACAAACTAACACTTTGAAAGCCGGTAAAACAGATTCTTAACATCAATTTCGCTACTCTATTTTTGTATAGATGTCGCTCTATACAAATATTTAAATTAATTAGTAATAGATTATTTTTATAATAATATATATATATAGTATATGTCGTAGAACACTGGCACTACGCTAAATGAATTTATTTTGTCTTCTTTCATGGAATTAATAATATCCTTTTAACGTTTAAGTAAATGTGCGGTTAGAACACTCTGTTCCAGGGAGGTTTGTCCCCCCCTCAAATTTAAGAAAGGGTTTATATTTTGAATGATTTTTTAGAAGTCTTAACAAACGAAATTTTTTTTTAGCGTACCTGCTTTGTTCCTCCACGCTTGTGCACCTATGTGGAATTTCTTCTATTGAACTGATAAAACTATTTTACGATGACGTATTTGTTTTATACGAAACAATTTTATCTATATAAAAAACTATACATTTGTGTGTGTGTGTGTACGTACGTTAAGCCGGCAAAGCAGATATTTTTCAATATAAAGGAATAAAGGAGATTATACTGAGCTCTTTGCCCGACTTCTTTTATTATTATTTGTCTTTTATATTGCAGCTTCTGGGTTCAATTTCTTTAAAAAATGACACAATGTGATAAAACATGTGCGATATTTTATGTTTAATTTTTGAATACTTTGCATTATAGAAGAACATTTTACATTCCTTATAAGAATTTCCGCTATAAAATATATTAAAATGTAAGATTTTACATTAAATAAAATCTCGACAAACTAGGAAAAATTACATATTTTATTTCGACCTATTCATGCAAAGATGAAAATAAGAAACATTTTTATGACGGCCCACCTAACGAAGTAGTTTTAACGCGAGACGACAATTTAGCATAAAATTATGAAATTTAAAATTTACATTTTGCGCACGATTTATTCTTTTATGTTTCCGTATAAAGTATTAATGTACATTTTAAACTGAAACTTTTTAAGTAGCAGTTTACGAAGTTAGCATATCATTATGGAAAATATTATTTACTTGGTTGGTAATAATTCATTTCTACGCAAATTTTTATTTTAACAAAGAATACAATAATTACCCTGGTCGACAGCAATTTTACCATATATTGGACAACACATTTTCTGCAGTCTTTTCATTTAAAAGACGGACCAAAATTAATAAAATCACGTACTATGCAAGTGATATTTGAAAACTCAAACAAAAACATTAAAAAGATATTTATTTGACAAAATATTAAATTAAAAATATTTTTATATTTCCAGATATCTTGCCCCGTAAAGATTTTCAATGAAAATATATTCTGCCTATTTACCTCGCCATTTAGAAAAAATGTTGATTTATCACAAAAAATAATACCTGCAAAAGAAATAACATTCCTGTTTATCATATCCAGCATTTGCTCGAAAAATGCAATCTTATATTAGAATCACCGTCAATTCTTGTACCTGTTGTAGTTTATATGTATGCATTTTATCGGGTTTTACACATTTTAAAACAGTCAAATGACTAACGTCATTTTCACGTGCAACCTAACGCATAGAAGTTGTTGGATCTTCTTGAAAATCTAATAAAATATTGACTTTCACATTTTCATCAATAAAATGAGGCGTCCTGCGTAATGGTTTAACATGTATTTTAGACAGTTGCCTAAGAAAGTGGTTGTAAATCTGGGTGTTTAATATTATAAAGGTTTGCAACTTGCTTTTGTAATCTACACATTTCACCGTAACCAATCATCATTAATATTTCTATTCGCAGAGCTTCTGTTAGGTTTCAAATTTTTTAACTAAAATATTAAGTGTAACAGCACTAAGAACAAATTATTGCAATTAATAAAATAATATATAGTACAATTAATAAAATAATTTTATAAAACATAGAATATCATATTACATACATACATCTTTAACTTAACCCATTTTTGTTTATATTTTTGTTACGTAAGATAAGAAGTAACAGCGCCTTAAAGGCAGAGAAAATTCCGTTCAAATCTAAAATCTAAATTTATTTCGTATTGCATTACTTTAAACAGCTATATCTTTTTTAAATAAAATGTTTATTCACTTTTTCTTTC